TGGGCAAACCTGCAAAATCAGCAAGGGCTCAAATACTTATTTCCCCCGCTGTATACATTTCTACTCACACACACACACGCACACCTATATATGTATGTGTGTGTATGATAGATTAGGTTCTTATTTTTGTATTTTTTCATCCAGTAGTGTTGGTATGTATTCCTAACTGGGGAGATCTTAGTCTGTAAATACTTGTTGTATTTCAGAGGGATTTTCTGACAGCGATCTGTTTGATGTGAGTAACGACAACACCTACAAACCCGACCGCAACAAAGGTAGGTCCACATTTACACCTCATATTATTGGCAATACTTCTAAAGTGTACAAAAAACCCCCCCAAAAAACTAACCTTGTTTCTCCAGGGCGCCACCCCAGTGACAGTGATGAGATGAACCAGAACACCGACTACAGCGGTGGGTTGTCCGGCCCTGTCCGGCCCCTCAGTGACCGCGTAGGGCTGGACGTAGTGTTTACTAGTGTGTGTGCGTGGTGTGTGTTTGCAGGGACCACAGAGGAGGTGGGCACGATCGCGGGGATTGCTAGCGCGGTGGTCATGGCCCTGGTGGGGGCCGTCACCAGCTACATCTCCTACCAGAAGAAGAAGCTGTGCTTCAGCATACAGCGTAAGGACACACACACACACACACACACACACACTCTCTTGTAAGTGCCTCAGACTGAGGACCAAGTATAAGGACTCACAAACTGAGGACCAGTAGTTCTGAGCGTCTTAGAAAGATTGAGTGTTCAAATTTTCCCACTAGGTGTCACACACAAATACACACGCACACACAATCAAGTGAGGACCAGGAAAATGTCCTCACTTTCAAAAAAAGACCTCACTTTGTTGGTTAGAAACTACTTATGGTTCTCACTCTGATACGGCAACAAGAGAACACACACACACACACACACACACACACACACACACACACACACACACCTCTATCGTGTCTATGTGTCACACATTCTTACATTTAGCAGACAAACTGTTTGTCGTATGAGGGAGAAAAGACAGTCATTCCAGATGTGGTGATGTGTAAAACACCGTTTTAAAATCAGTATTAGTTACACATCTGTCTCATCAGGTCTCTCTCCACCACAGGTGATGTGCTGAACCATATTCAAAGCACTGAAGGGTTAAACCTTCTGTCAGGAGTACAGTCCCTTTATTGTGGACCACTTTCTAACGCTGCATTTCCAGGCTAGTTATCTGTATCTGTATCATATTTAGTAGATAGCAACTAGTTTAGGAGTTCTGATTTGCAGAAAGAGTCCTGATCCAATAGGGAAGCAGGACTGTAATAATGAACATACAATGTAGGGGGAAGTTAGTGCTGCTAGAGCTGGGCTAAAAAAACTTTTGTAAAAGCAGAATGTTTTGTGTTTTTGTGTTTGGCAGAGAGCCTGAACGTGGACATGGTGAGCTCTGAGAACCCGGAGGCCGTGGTGGCTACAGAACCACAAGGTAGGCTTCCCCACTGCAGAGCTCCAGCTCTTTTTTATTTACACCGCCGTCCAGACTAAATCTAAACCGAGCCCAAAGCTTTGAATCAAACAGGCTGAGCTCCAGGCCTTTCTCACACTGTGTCAGGTTCCCTGTCCTATTAGCTGAAAACTAAGATAACTGTCAAAGTGGTTTGCAAATTCAGAATTACTATATATCTCAGTATTGAATCATTTCAGAAGAATGTTAATTTACACTGTGATTGCTAAGTGAAAGGGCTGAACATGGTGGGGCCCCGCTGGGCTTATTACCCGTACCCACTCATACTACTAGCTTTTGGCATCATTTTGGCCCCCTAACAGCAGCATAGTGGCCGCTCGCTTCTTCTGGAGAACCCGCTTCATTTAAGAAAGAGGCAATGTAACAATTCCCCTCATCTTAGTCAGAAAAACAACTGTTACTAAATACGTTCGGCCTACACCGTTTAACTTTTATCTGTGAAAATTCTCTTATCAAAATGTTATAAAAAAATAACCATTACCCCGCACACACTTTATGCCAATTCAGTCACCTGTATTTTGTTTGTCAATCACACAATTCACAAACGATCCACTTCTTTCCCCACATTTCCTCAATAGTCTTGGTCAAAAATCACCATCAGTATTAACCGCTCCCCCCCCCCCCAGAGTCACTCCATAGTGTAAATCCAACACCGGTCCTCTTGCGAAAATACAAAAAGAAAAACCCCACAAAATTGTGCAAAATAAGTCGAAAAATTAGCCTTCAGCAATGCATTGCACAAAAAAAATTAAAGGCAAAAATGAGTAAACTAGATGGGTCTCACCAGCACATCCCGCGGGAAAAAAGTCCTCCAGGCTTCGACTTCTTTTTCTTTTCTTTGAAAGTCCTTTTTTCCACAAATATTGTCCAGTGGGCTGATTTTTCCTTTTTTTCTTCAACCCCGTCCAGCAGGCCTCTTTGCAGCCTCTCCATTCAAACAACCTCTCTCTTTTTCATGCCACCTCTCACACCTTTCAAACATTTTTCCTCATTACCTCTTTCCCAGGTGCTCTCCGGATAGCTTCACCCCCATTTTCCTTAAAGAGGCACACTACCCCCCAACTCTCAAAGACACAGACTATGAAAATAAAAGCCCATGAATTATAGAGGCTGATACCTATATTGATAAAACCCAACAAGGCCAATGTCAATATTACCTGAACCTCCTATTTTTCAAAGACCCTAACTTAGGAGACAACTCCACAGAAAAAACACCATCCAACTTAATGTTGCAGGGTCACAGCAAAAACAAAATATCATTATCATTGTGATCAGAAATGTTGTACATTCCTATTAGCCAAGCTTTAATGGGTATGATGGGGATTCAATGTTCTTCATTGTTTTCTCTGCTTTTGTCGCATACAAATGACATCATGAGCCGCTTCCCCTTCTGTTAGGAGCTCATTTGTAAAGGAAAAGCGCCTAAAACGAGTCGTGGTGAGGAGGGCTGAGTAGGTACTCACGGGAAAATACTTCATTAGCATTTCCACGCAGAGGGTTCCTAATTAGCCATCGGGTGAAATGTCACAGGGGTTAGAGCAATTCAGTTTTCAGAGAGATAAAAAAAAAACTCAAATGATGCACATCTGTTCCCTTATGGTTTCCTGACGGGGATGTCTGTGAGAAACTGGTTTGCAGAATTAAAATGAGACGTTAAGCTATCTAGTTTTGAATGCTCGACGTTTTTAACCTCCTGAGACCCGAGCTTTTATTTGGCATGCATTTTAGCTTTTTTTTTTAAAGATATATGAGATACATATTTAATTAAATGTTTTTACAATTTTGTTCTGACAGTCCCATTGACTCATTTACAGTTTTTCTATTACACAATAAGAACATGATTGGATGGAAATGTATAAAACCATTTTACTTTAGATTTCAAACAGTGTCTGATAGCATCTGCTATGAGGTCAAGAGGTCAAAGCTGAAAGAAAAAAAGAAGTATCATGGTAAAGAGAGACAAAAATGCAACGTCCTCTTATGAGGACACAGGGTCTCAGGAGGTTAACTAAATTTACTCTGTTGTTTGGGGTACATTATGATCAGTTGTGGTTTCATTTTGATGTCTGACTTTCTGAAGTATTGACCTGTTTTTTCCGTATATGTGGGGTTGGGTGTACGGTATATGCATGTCCTAAGTCTCATAGAAGTGACCCGGGTCCCTTTGTCTCTGCAGTCCAGCAGACCCTCCTGGAGCCCAAAGCCGAGCATCCTGCTGAAGCTAAAGCTGTGTAGCAGCCACACACCGGTCACCAGCAAACCACCGCGCTGGACACCATGGGAATCTCATTATTTATGTATTTATTTATTTTATTTATTTGAGGGTGCATTGCAGAAATGAGAAACATCTTTTCAATGAACTCCAACACTGACACGTTTCCATCTTTTCAATGTTGTTTGAATTGTTTTGGTCATAAACTGATACTGTCCAGTTAATCAGCAGAGGGAAATTTATGCCAAAGAAAAAATAGTGCTTAAATATGACAAAACTCACTATCAGTGAGGATTTCTGACTTTTTAAAATGTAGACACAAACATGTAAATCCTTGCTTTAAAACGCTTAAAATGACCATTAGTGTTAGTATAGACTAGGAAATGCTAATATAATACAGGAATGTAAGATGCCTTCTTTTCCCTTTAGGTGACCCCACCTTCTTTTATATCACGACCCGTTTTGAGGCATTAGTGCCACTTCACCACACAGCCCTCATTTTCTCTACATTTACATGAAAATTCATTTGATTTTCCGTGATTTATTTTAATCCACTGTGGTTTTAACCATTAAATTTGTGAGCCTCAGACATAAATGTTCCATTTAACCACACTTCTGTAATCTTTAGACTGTTGAGCACAGCTGAATGTAAGCCACAGCCACCAATTTAAAAAGAAAAACACACACAGGCCACGCTTATCTACAGGCCCAGGTGTCCATAGTAACAAGACATATTTACACAAAAATATATTTTAAACCCTGAATTAAACATAAACCAGAAACATGCACCATAGTGTAAATGCTCTTTTCTGACCTGTTCATTTCACCGGTCTGATGTGATGAAACCCATAGAAATCCACAGAAAGTAGAAGTTCAGAGACCGGGAATGATGGAAATCAATTTAAAAATGTCAGTTTATTTCATTTACTGGTATTTTCGGGAACTCGTGATAAT